CTTCACAACACACACACACACACACACACACACTGACCTCAGGCAATCAGCAGGGACACTGGGCCGAGACACTGGGCCAACGTGTTTTAGGATAAATAAATCCAGTGCTCGGGTCAACAGCAACACCACCACCACATGCTCAAGGCAGCAGCCAGTGGCTTGCTCTAAAACCCTCTCTAGACTAACATCCTCTATGCATGTTCATTATGTTCCATCATTTGGTTCATGTATTGAGTGGATTTCTAACAATGGGAATATGGGAACTGAAGTGAGGTTAAAATAGAATAGTTATGGATACTCTTTGTCATGTTGATCGATAGAAATATTGATGGAAATAATTGTAATTTGTTATCAATTTGTGTCGCCTCCATGGACAGATTGTCTGCCACTAACTGAAACAAATAAACCTTTAGAAATGAATGCTTGTATCTTACAGTCAGGTCTGTCAATTATAACATACTGTATTATACATGAATAGACATGTCAGAGGATAGAAAGAAAGGGGCGATTCTATGAGGAGTTAAATAGAATGGCAAGTGAAGGTCATATCGGACGAAAGCGGTGCACCTTGGCTGGGAGCCATACCTTGGTTGCCATGGCAAGAGCCCCCTGTCTACCCATATCCTTCCACACTGTCGAGGAGATGCATTGCTGTCAGTTCAGTGGATTGTTTTGAGTGTAAAATGCCCGGCACTACTTTCTCTTCCTGTTGTTAGTGCAGTGAATCCAAGAGTGAATTATTATACTCAAATAGCCTGCAACATTTTGTTCTGGTGAGAATCAATTACATTACCAACTCAAGGATGCACGGACCAGGATTTATGAATAAAATATAAGCCAGTATTAATTTATTTAGCATTGTATGTCAAATATATAAAAAATATGTGATTGTGAATTCAAAGGACACATGCCTGAATGTGTTTCACTCTTCAACAGTGGGAAGTTGTTAGGAGGTTGTTGAGGCAGTGTGAAATTGCAGTAAGAGAATATTCAAACTGTTACCGCGCATTGTTGACAGCACAGTGGTGAACAAAGAGCATCAAAGAACACAAGATGTGAACACAGATGAGCTCCGAGACAGAAGGGAAAAATCCTTCAGTGTAATCAAGAGACACTTCTTTATCATCAAAGTCTTCCTAAACAACAGAGTGTGCAGGTACAGCATCTCCCTAAGTGCAGCCAAAGTCACTGATAAAAGGAATGACAAGAAACATGTTTCCCTTCGATTTTGTCTGGAAGATTGACAATTTTGGGAGGTGTTTTGCAGTTGTCATGCATTTGTAAATGTACCATAAGTAACAGAACACTTCACACGCCATTTCAATAATGCCTACATGATATTAATTAGGATCAGGTTACATACTGCTGAGGCGTGTGGATAGAAGGGGGATCAGTTCTGGCCCAGTAGGCAGACAGTCTGCTAGGCTAACGCTAGTCTAGCCTACAGTCTCACTGATAAACCCACAGTTGCTCAGACACATGTAACAACAGCAATTAAAGGGGCAATCTGCAGTTGCAACATCAATTTTTTGACTTATAAATGAATGATATGTACCCATTGATTCTTGAAGAATATAACTTATAAATGCCTCATGAGCGTAGCTCAACTGTCGTATCCCATCAGAACCCAAAATATAAGCTTGTTTACACCAATGTTTGTAAACAAAGTAAATGCAAACAAAACATGGTTAAAACTATCATTGTGATATCATGGAGGGTCAGTCCTTGCATCCATAGCTCTGTCTATGGAATTTGAGAATGGTTTGCATTTCTCCAGCCCCATCCCTCAGATTTTTACGGAACCAGGGGCGGTGAGTACGCTTTGTTATTGTTTTAACTGCGGATTGGAGCTTTAATTCCCTGGCTCCCAATACACAGGGGAGTCTCTCATGTCTCCCCCTCTCTCTCGCCATCCCAGCTAAAAGACCAGCCCTGACAGACACTGATGTGGATGGCTGGGCTTACATTTATGAAATACTCATTAAAAAAGAAGGGGGGGAAGCTCATGAATTATTCATGAAGTCTGTATTTGTGTAGGATTGTGGTATTTAATCCCCTTTAGGTTGGTTCAGATTGGGACTATTGGCCCTTCCTGAGGATAAGGCTCTGATTGTGGGTTGGATGGGTGCTTGTGTGCTCAACTGACCGCACAGTCCACACTAGGGAGTGTTCAGTGGAGCAGATATGGACCATTGATAGTGGGATGTAGTGCAGTCAGTGGCGAGTGCAGAGTTGATAGCCGTGAACATAATGGGTGGATTCAGCGGATCCAGAGTTCTATCCGCTGCCTCGGGGAGGAGAAGAGAGCCAGAGCGAAACGGCTTAGACGGGGGACGCAGGAGAACGGGGCGGAAATGAGGAACGAAGGAGAAAAAGGCAGTGTGAAATGAGACTGGGAGGGAGGGAGTCAGGGAATCTGTCTCCCTCCCTCTGTCTGTCTGTCCCCACCTCTATCCTCCTTATCACCCCCTACCCTCCTCCTCTTCAGGGGTTGAGAGGTTACGCTCACGTAGGGGGGTGTAAGGAGGGGTGAAGGGGCGGTAGGGAGAAAGGTACATTGTGTACTAGAACCAGGTATGGAGAAGGGCACCTCAAATCTAATATATGGGACCCCTCACTCCTTATGTGTAGAGTGCAGACACTGACAGTGTATTGTGGTTGTCTGGGAAAGGAGGCTCATAGGGGGAGGGGAAGAGAGCTTGAGATACTGACATGGGTTCTGCCACCCCTGGCATGGTGGGGCCCGTTGGCATAAGCCACAGTGGTGTGCCAGCTGCTGATAAGGGGATTGCTTGGTACAGACGATGAGCTGCGTGTGTAGGGGGAAGGGGGACAATAGAGTCAAATACACTAACGTTAGCAGTCTATTTTGCTTATTTGTGGAGTGTGGTGAATGGGAGTGTGTGTGTGTGTGTGTGTGTGTGTGTGTGTGTGTGTGTGTGTGTGTGTGTGTGTGGTCCTGCGTGCTTCTTTTTGACTGAGCGAGAACATCTGGAATTCTCTCTGGTCTTTGTGCTTGGTTATCAAAGTGGCAACACCCTTTGAGATAGTCCTAAGGGCGACTAGGAACACAAGTCGAGCTTGTCTGTTGGGCAGCCCAACCAGGGCCTTGTAGATCAATACAGAGGCCAAACAATCAATCCCACATAGAAGCAATTTGGTTGGTTTAACCCTTTGATGTCTGCGGGCAGTTATAGTGTAGTCCTTAGAGAGAGCTCACTGAATCAAAAGTTTAAGAATGTGAAGGAATGTAGTTGTACTCCTAGGGATTTGAGTAGCAATAAAATAAAATGTTATTTGTCACATACACGTGTTTAGCAGATGTTATTGCGGGTGTAGCGAAATGCTTGTGCTTCTAGCTCCGACAGTGCAGTAATATCTAACAAATAATATCTAACAATTTCATAACATATACCCAATACACACAAATCTAAGTAAGGAATGGAATTTAAGAATATATACATATATGGACAAGCAATGACAGAGCGGCATGGACTAAGATACAGTAGAATATTATAGAATACAGTATATACATTTGAGATGAGTAATGCAAGATATGTAAACATTATTAAACATGATTAAAGTGACTAGTGTTCCATTTCTTAAAGTGGCCAGTGATTTCAATAGGCAGCAGCAGCCTCTAATGTGCTCGTGATGGCAATAACATGCTAGGTAAATGTATAGCTGTCAATCTTCATTCTGTCAGAACACCAATCATATGAATGGCTCCCAGGTGAATGAATAAAATAGGGGTTCAAATCCCAAACCAGAAAAAGGAAACACGAAACGGAACAGTCAGATGTTGACAAATAGACATTTTGATCTCTGTATCTGTCGGTCAGAGAGAGTGTTACCTTTTGAGAAGCTCAGCTAGATTTGAGAGCAACATGACAGGGCCCCATTCTACACTACACTACATTTAAAGAAAACTATTTCCTCCATCTCTTCAGAAGTATTGTACAGTATGTCTGAGGCTAGGCTGGCTTAGTGGGTGTGTACGGCACATGTTATGGCACATGCTATCATCACATCTGTTGCCATCATTCTTACCTGAGGTGTCTGAAAGTCAGTGGTGCATTCTCATGCGCAACACAATCACATGACTTTCTTTACCAACCAATCAATGGAGGAAGATATAGAAAATCCAATATCCATATCCCAATCATGCATAGAGAACATTTATGGAGAATCGGTCATAATGGAGCAATAACATTGGATTACATTCTGGTCTGTATCAATGTCATAAAACTGTCAAAATGATAAAGGTGCTCATATGCTACAGACTTTCCCTGTAGCTAGAGTATATTCACACTGATATATAGTAAATGGTTTATATTAAGATACATATCTCGTTTTCCATCCTCTGAATGCTTCAATAGCACATGGGAATCAGCACCTCAGGAGCTGTGGTATATTTGTGATATATTCCAACTATTATAAAGGGTCACTAATAAGGGTTGAATGGCTTTAGGGTTATAAAAACATTATATTCTGAGTCCCAGAGATTGTTTGTTTTTTTACTGTGCAGAAATGCCAGCGGCTTCCCAGAAGTCTGCAGTGCGGATATGTGGACCTCTATTCTTTTTTCTCCTCCAGCTCATTTACTGAGCTGGGTTTGTATGGGCAGAGAGAACCCAGAGAGGGAGAGAGAGCTAACGCTATAATAATACAACGTTATTTTAGGCTCTGAAAATATCTTGGCGCATAGTGGCAGTGGCATATCAAGTGCTGAGTTGGTCCAGTCTCGAGAGTTGGTTATTCATATGAAAAGCAAAGAGAGTGAATTTAAATGAGAACACAATGAGTGTTGAAGAAACAAGATAATGAGGTCACTGGATAATGGCAATCAATCTCCCTGACAGAATGATATTAGTGACAGTAGTGGCTTCTCATTTCTCATTGTCCTTGAATATAATACATGTCCGCTATTGAATTTAAAGCAGGTTTTTTTTTCCCCATTCAATTTTTTTTTACAGATTTACCTGGAGACGTCACACCTATAGAATGTTCACACTCGACATAGGGCCGTTGCCACGGAGACAAGGCCAAGGGTCAAAGATGACGAGATTGACACTGACCTTCTGAAGGAAGAGGACAATTCTCCCAACCATTTCGTCCCTCTGCTCCTCCAGGCAGAAGAGGGTGCGCGGCGTGCGGACGAACACCTTGGTCTTGCCGTAGGCCACGTCGTGCTCGAAGCCACAGCCCTGCAGCAGCCTCTTCACTGCCTCTTTGTCCGACGGGAGGTCGTGATTGGGCCACGTGAACTCCGAGATCATCTTGTACCTGAGGGGGTGGAATGGAGGCAGAGGGTCCAATATTAGTGGGCATCAAAATACTTTGGCACGATCGCTAACCAGAGTGGTTCTAATAGATCAGAGCATGGTGCGTGCAATGCCATAATAATTGGGTTTATTGCTGCATGGGCCAAAAACACTGTAAACTGTGTGTTAACTGTACGTCACATTGGACTAAATGACTATGACTTAAATTCCTAATTGTGTCTGCATCACTCTTCTTCTTTTACAAAACATGCACTTTGCTAAATTGATTGGTTCTTTGACAGTGACTCACAGAAAAACTGCCCAGAAAAATACATGAGAAAACAGAATGATTGGCAACATTACAGGACACTGTGACAAGATATTATTTGCCAAGAGAGGTCAAATCACTGTTAGCAGGCCTGTCAACCGATTCCTACATTAGTCATTCACTAGCATTTTTCTTCCAAAGCATGATGTAATACAGAGTCCAAATTCATCAGTGAAGGAAATGAAGTGTGTTATGCAAAACTATCACCGCTAACTACCACAGCTATTACCTAATCTAATTTGACCGAGGAAGGGCAGGGCGGTGGGGGAGAGAGACAGCTGTGAATGAATTAGGGGCAAGGTTTAAAATGTGTGTGTGTGTGTGTGTGTGTGTGTGCGCGTGCGTGTGTGTATTTGCATTTGTTTGGGACCATTTGGAGCTTGTGTGTGACAGTGCAGTTTGGACTAAATCCTAATTTAACTGCCAAGAGTCCAAATAAATCCTATAAAAAAATCATTATTTGCACACAATATGAACCCGTCTCGGTTTCCCAGATGTGCTATAACACACTTTTAGAGGAAATGTCATTTCTTGCTATATTTTGTCATAATTTATTATGTAACACGAGTGTGTGTGTGTGTGTGTGTGTGTGTGTGTGTGTGTGTGTGTGTGTGCGCACGCACGTATGTATGAGTGACATCACTGCTGTCGCATAGCGCCCAATCTACCTCTGGAGGGGAGACACAAGGAGATGTGATGATGCTAAGGCCCTCCTCTCCTCTGCAAAGCTCTTTATGACTTAATTCAGTCCTAACTGGATTCTGTTTTATCAAACTCAAGCCCAGCCCCGGTCTATTCATTTAGTAATGAGTTGGTGTTAGTAAGCATATCATAGTATAGTGGTAGAGAAAAAATAATAAGGGAATGTTCGGTATGTGAGTGGATTGAAAACAGAGGCAGGGAGTATTGACACTGACAAATCGAAAGCGTAAATGAATCAGAAGTCATCATTGTGAGGGTCATAGTATTGATGAATACTGTCTCAATACAACAAGTCACAGAGCTTGTTTTCCCCACTGAAGTGCAGTGCGTCAACTGTATTCGATGGAAAAGGCAAGTCATTAAACACACCCACTCTGTTACAAGGCTGTTCCTAGTGAAGGGCAGGTCACAGGAACATTGTGTTGGAGGGGGCTTGAATTCACAAAGAAGGAATTGTTTAAGAAAATCTTCAAATTAAATCACACTGCGAGATTATAATTGCACTTTGCACAATGCATTTGCACTACGAAAATGTCCCACTCAGAGTAGGATTACTGATATAGGATCAGGATCAGGCCTTTTATATCATAATGAATAAGACTATATGGAAAGGAGGGACTTGATCCTACATCCCCACTACTCTGAGAAGCATTTTGAATGCGGGACCTGATTCTACTTCTACCCGGAGATGAGGTGGAAGCTCGTACCTCTGGAGGAAGCGGGGGTAGTCCTGGCGGTTGGCGAATCCGGCGCGACGCACACGAACGTTCTCCAGTAGGCCCAGGTACTCAACCTGGTGGCGACAACGCTCGTGCTCGAACAGCAGGGGTGACTTGACGTCGTTGGGCTTGATGCAGCGCACATAGTAGGGCTCCTACACACACAAACCACCAGGGGGCCACAGTGAGGGGACACAGTGCGGGTTACTATGGGGTTTGTCAGAAAGTGGCACTGAACACTTTGACGACATCTCAATTGTCTAAAATGGCTTCCCCCCTAGTCTCCTATCCTTTATCTGCACGGATGTGGAAGAACTGGACAGGTGAAAGCTAATTCCTATAGGATATCCAACATGTTTTTTTAACCTATCCTGTGAGTTCACATTTGTGTAATTTTTGAGGAGAGGAGATGAGGAAAGAAAACCCCTTTAGACTATTAAGATGCACCCGATCTGTCAAGTACATGTTCTCAAAAAATGTAATGTTGTTGTTGGCCAATGAAATAGTTGCCCGGCGGTGGCCACACCCCTCACCTTGCATGCCAGGTTCTCCACCAATGCGATCATGGAATTCTTAAAGAGGGTGGCGGCCGTTAGGGGTCGTTTGGTGACCTCAGTGATACTCAGCTTGCCCTCCGGCCACATCATCTTCAGCACTGGGTTGGAGCTACGAAGAGAGAGGAAGAGAGGAGAAGAGGAAATTGTCTATCAGTGCATCATAGAAGGCTACAGTGGTGTCATGAGATAGGGAGGAGGGCGAGAGGAGGTTGAGAGGAGAGGGGATAGCAGGTGTGTGTTGACTCTGACCTGTTGTACAGTAGCCTTTTGAAGTCCTGGAAGAGAGTGTCCTTGTTCTTGTCGATGAAGCCAACCACAGAGTACCTGTGGTAATACATAAGTACACACACAGCCACATATCCACACACACACACACACACACACACACACACACACACACACACACACACACACACACACACACACACACACACACACAAACACACACACAAACACACAAACACACAAACACAGATAATCTTTTTCAGACACTAAGACAACTTACATCACCAAAGACGGTGCTTAAGAATGACAACAGCGTCTCCTAAACCCTACTCTGAAATTATTACAATGGATGAATCACAGAAGAATTAGAGAACAAATCCTCTGTTTCCAGAAAAATAGTGGGAGTGTAGGAGCCATCTGTGGGGCTAAGTGCAGTAAGACCCAGGAGGAAACTGTCCCATTACAGGAATGGCTCTACAGTCCCAGGCTGCATCTCAAATGGCACCCTATTCCCTATATAGTGCACAAGTTTTGACCAGGACCCAATGACCAGAGCCCTATGGGCCATGGTCAACGGTAGTGCACTATATAGGGAATAGGGTGCCATTTAGAATGCAAAGAGTCTCAAGTTTGAGTACTCCCTGAACCAGTTAGGCAAGGCTGCAGGAGGCAGAGTGGATGTCACAGTCCATTGTATTTATAGCTCTCTCATCTCATCTTTAAAGCCATATAATTGATATGTGTATTTTCTGTAATTAATGTAATTCAGGGCTCATCTGTAAAAGAGACCTTGGTCTCAGTATGACTCCCTGATAAAATAAAGGTGAAATAAAAAAAATTATACTAAAAATATATGAACCATGGGGAGGTAGCTAGAAGATGCTGGGCTGGACAGATGCGCAGGCATTGAGGATGACTTGCATACTGTAGCATACATAGCTTGTGATTTGGTTGATGGTAGTGTTTGATGATCTCATGTTTTTGTAATGATGAGGGTATTTAAAGAACATAGTGAAGTGTAATGAACTCACTTCTGCCGCCACAATGACTTACAGCAAAGAGTGGTTCTATACAGTACACCACTGTATACAGTTACTTACAAGACATCCCCTGCATAGTGTCGGATACGGAAATCTCTGTCAAACTCCAAACTCTTGTCTGTCGGGGAGAGCTGTGGATGGAGAGATAGAGGGAGAGAGAGAGAGAGAGAGAGAGAGAAAAAGAGAAAAAGAAAGAGAGAAAAATTGAGAGAGTGAAAAAGAGAGAGAGAGAGAGATCGCAATTGAGTAACACAAACCGAGGGAAGTGGGGATGGGATGCATTCACGCAGCCAAGGAGGTGAGTTTACTTGACTCTGCCTAGTAATCTAATAGCTCCTATGCAAAGGAGCTAAAATGATGGGGCACTTTAGTCTGTAATATCAAGGGTATCTGTTTTCAAATGTGCTATGCCCTGTTTTTCTTTACTGGAAAGCAGCTTCCCCAGATAACCTACAGTACAGTATCCCCATTAGAGAGAGAGAGAGAAGCTGCTTCCCCAGATATAACCTACAGTACTGTATCCCCATTAGAGAGGGAGAGAAGCTGCTTCCCCAGATATAACCTACAGTACAGTATCCCCATTAGAGAGGGAGAGAAGCAGCAGAGCCACTGGTGCAGAAAACAAGGTTGCTAAAACACCAGCACTGTCAGGTGGGATACATGCTATTCTCTCCCACTGGAGTGTGAGATGGAGAGACAGAGACAGAGACAGAGACAGAGACAGAGACAGAGACAGAGAGACAGAGAGACAGAGAGACAGAGAGACAGAGACAGAGAGACAGAGACACAGAGAGACAGAGACACAGAGACAGAGAGACAGAGAGACAGAGAGACAGAGAGACAGAGACAGAGAGACAGAGAGACAGAGACAGAGAGACAGAGACAGAGAGACAGATACAGATACAGAGAGACAGAGAGACAGAGCGACAGAGACAGGAGACAGAGAGACAGAGACAGAGACAGAGAGACAGAGAGACAGAGAGACAGAGACAGAGAGACAGAGACAGGAGACAGAGACAGAGAGACAGAGGACAGAGAGACAGAGAGACAGAGAGACAGAGAGACAGAGACAGAGAGACAGAGAGACAGAGACAGAGACAGAGACAGAGACAGAGACAGAGACAGAGAGACAGAGACAGAGAGACAGAGAGACAGAGACACAGAGACAGAGAGACAGAGACAGAGAGACAGAGAGACAGAGAGAAGGGGGAAATCTGTGCACGTGAAATATGAATGAGCCGTGTGTGGTGACGCAGGAACTGATGTGGATGGCTGTATGTAGGCCAGTGGTGGAGTGCAGAGAGGAGAGAAAAGGAACATGCCGGGAAATGCAGAGAGGTCTGCCGCAGCCCTCTGCCACCTGTAATCTGCCTGTGTGTCTGCATGCGTATATACCTGACTGTATGTGTGTGCATGCGTATATACCTGACTATATGTGTGTGCATGTGTACCTGTTTGCTTGTGTCTGTATATACATCCCTCCATGTGTGTACACCTTTGTGTTAATGTGTGTGACTGCGTCAGTGGTATATTGGTGTGCTATAGTAGACTAACTTGTGTGTCTGGTGACAGACAGAGGACGCCCTAGGCAGCACTATGGCATGGCAACATACAGTGCCTTGCAAAAGTATTCATCCCCATGGGCGTTTTTACTATTTAAATTTATTTTTATTTGGATTTAATGTTTAATGGACATACACAAAATAGTCCAAATTGGTGAAGTGGAATGAAAAAAATAACTTGTTTCAAAAAAAGTACATCAAGGAAAACACTATGTCTGGCGCAAACCCAACACCTCTCATCACCCCGAGAACACCATCCCCACAGTGAAGCATGGTGGTGGCAGCATCATGCTGTGGGGATGTTTTTCATCGGCAGGGACTGGGAAACTGGTCAGAATTGAAGGAATGATGGATGGCGCTAAATACAGGGAAATTCTTGAGGGAAACCTGTTTCAGTCTTCCAGAGATTTGAGACTGGGACGGAGGTTCACCTTCCAGCAGGACAATGACCCTAAGCATACTGCTAAAGCAACACTCGAGTGGTTTAAGGGGAAACATTTCAATGTCTTGGAATGGCCTAGTCAAAGCCCAGACCTCAATCCAATGGAGAATCTGTGGTATGACTTAAAGATTGCTGTACACCAGCGGAACCCATCCAACTTGAAGGAGCTGGAGCAGCTTTGCCTTGAAGAATGGGCAAAAATCCCAGTGGCTAAATGTGCCAAGCTTATAGAGACATACCCCAAGAGACTTGAGGCTGTAATTGCTGCAAAAGGTGGCTCTACAAAGTATTGACTTTGGGGGGTGAATAGTTATGCACGCTCAAGTTGTCTTATTTCTTGTTTGTTTCACAATAAAACATATTTTGCATCTTCAAAGTGGTAGGCATGTTGTGTAAATCAAATGATACAAACCCCCCAAAAAATCAATTTTAATTCCAGGTTGTAAGGCAACAAAATAGGAAAAATGCCAAGTGGGGGTGAATACTTTCCACAAGCCACTGTATAAGGCAAGCGAATAACATTATATTAGTGCCACTACTGCACTGCCATTCATAAAATATTACACTGACATCTGCGAGAGAGAGGCATCCAGTCTCATTAAAATACAAGGCAGAAATGATTAGCACACAGCAATAGATTAGAGTTAGAAGGACAAGGTTACAGGATGTATAGTGGGGGGCACAATGAAACAGAGCTTCCTCTAAGCCATTGGGACAGCCAGAGTGTTATATAAAAGAGGGACAGCCAAGATGTTTGAAAGAACAGAGAGAAAGGAGAGCCGGAGTGCATGAGTCATCCGAACGGAGAGCATGGACACACACACCAAAAGGAATAAGAGAGAAGGGAAAGTGACTGAAGAATTTTATGAGGATGTTACTGACAATACAACAGCTGACAGGCAGAAAACTGTGGAGGAAAATATACAAATCTCTATACTGTGTGTAAATCTGTGTGACCGCATTCAAATTCCTATTCAATGCCTTGAAAATGAATGGGCATGGCCATAGCAGAAATACTTCAGTGGAACTGTGATAGGGAATTGATCCATCCATGAGGGCCCGTGCTCTAAACAGACCAGTACAGCCAGCCAGCAAGCCAGTCAAACAGACAGCGATCCTGGCAGCTAGACACACACACAGACAGACAGACGGAGGCCACTGGATGCCACCTTGTCCTCATCTATCACAACAAGTCCCCCTCCACACACACTACCAGCTATACTATTACCACGTCTCCCTCTGTGTCTGCCTCACTCTTTATCCAGTCTAATGCCTATTTCAGATGAGAAAGAGGGGTGGGGGGGGGGGAAGAAATGAGGACACAGCGCAAGGGAGATCCTATGGGAGCTTTAGAGAGAGGGAGACAATAAAGAGAAAGGGAAATTAAAGAGAAGGACAGAGATACTTTTGGGATGAGGTGACGGGGAAAAATAGGTAACGAGAGAGTTATGAGGGGAGACAGAGCGAGAGAGAGAAATGAGAAGAGAGAAGATGGAGACCATGTTTTGAACAGGGGGGATTATTGGGTTCTTCACAGGTAGAGAAAGGACAGATAGAGCATATAAGGCAACAGGTTCAGAACAGACCTATTGTCTCTATTACAGTCTGTGTACACAACTGTAAACCTTGGCATTAGCTTTCTTGCCTTTTGGCCATGGCAGTATTGGGTCTTTTAGTTCCACATTCATTATTTTGAGGAAGATACTGCACCTGTCCACAAAAGCACTGAACATTCTTCAATTTAAAAAGTATGTGATCATGTTGGGCATTCATATCTGTACAACTTAGATTTTCTGTGCAACTCTTGTCACACTAGGCCAATAGCCTTATGTGTAAATGTGAACCGCTTTATAGCAGAGACCCCTCTGATCACCCTAACACCTGCTGTCCCTCGTCCTCCTGCCCAAATCTTGCCCTCCCTCCAGCACCTCTCCTCTGCCACCTCCACCGCCATCCTGTTCACCACCAGTGCCTCGCAGTTTCGCCTGCTAACTAAGTTGGCACCTGCAGGGCACACGCGCCATGCAGGCCAACTGACTGGCTCCAAACCTGTC